TTCAAACAGCAGTCGCTTTCAAAAACATCAGATATGTATCGGATTCAGAACCACATACAAAAGTGACCCAGATCGGATGTGAAAATATCGGATTTGTGCCGTTCACACTGTCACACCATGATCGGATATGGGTCGCATAGGGTCAAAAAAAAAATCGGATTTGATGCACTTTCGCCTGCAGTGTAAATGTAGCCATAGAGACAAAAAACAACGATTCATATTGACAACTAGATTCACCAATTAACCTAATCCCACCAACTGCATCTGTCTTTGGACTGTGGAAGAAAGCCAGAGAACCCATGCAAACCGAAAGAACTTGCAAATATGCAAACTCCACATCACTGTGCCACTATGCTGCCCTCAATTGCATTTTATACTTGTATAATTCAGTCCATAAGACTCTATTTTAAACAAAATTGGCGGAATACTTAAGAGAGAGTGCCCATCTGAATATTACTACATACTACGATGCTTTTGAATCAACTTTTGGGGTTCCTCTAGTAGAGCATTTATAAGTGTTTTATACAACAAGCTTCATTCACAGAGTCACATGATCACTTTTTTCCTACGCCCAAGTGCTTTCTATCCAACATAAAAGCCCTTTGAGTGCTCAGAGTAGAAAAGCACTATATAAAGAACCAGTCCATTTACCATTCACATAGATTCATATGTGTAAAAACCTAAGGGTTAAGTAACTCCCCAAGCAGTACCTTGCCAAAGGATATGTTTGCATGCAGCAGCCACGATCAAACAACAAAACTTCCAGCTGGTAGATGACCTGTTTGACCTGAGCACAGCCACCCATAAGGTTTCACATTTCAGTCTTAGAATGGACCTATTAGCATACCTTAAAAACTAGAGGCAGGGACCAATTCTAAGTATCATTTTCACTTTCAGTGATCCAAAATTAGCAAAGTCTGACTGTATTTATTTCGGTAGCATTTTGGTTATGGACCAATGTTAAGTCTAAATGAATGTTTAATGTCTCTTATCCAGGGTAATGTAACGATTGCTCATTGGATAACCACGGCCAGAAGACTGAACGGGAAGTGTATTTTTGGACTTAAGTATCAACTCCCAAATTCTATGTTGGTGGTAAGAATGTAATTTCTGCCATTTATTTTATCACTACTGCTGATACTACCTTTAATGAGCACACATTTGCACACATCTCTGGGAATAAACTTACTTCTGAAATTAAGAGAAGGATTACTACGTTTCACATTCACTGAACAAAGAATTGTAAACAAGATACTTTGATAAATATGCAATAGGAATCAGACAGTAAACTAACACTGACAATACAGTGTTCAGTGGGATATGCTGTAATTTATGTTTGCTGTGCTACAAACTTGTTACAACATAGTTACTTCAAGATGGTGTTTAAAATTCAAAGAGAGACCAAAGGAGGAATGCTCCAATGGGAAGCTTAACCGAAGCAGTTGCCTTGTGCTGTTTAACACAGCGCAAGTTTGTACAGGACAGTGAAGTACACATTTGCGAGCTGTGAGGCAAGACAATATCATTGAAGCTAGTTTTGAGGCTTCAAAACATTATTTGACAATAATTTAGTGTGAAACTTTTATAGTCTAACATATTTAGAGCACACAAAAACATAATTTGATTTTCCTATTACAATTTGCAAACATATTCTCCGTACATCAGCTTCCTTCATCTGTCAAATGCTTACATTCAAACAG